TACCCTACCCTACTCTACTCCTACTCTACCCTACTCTACTCCTACTCCTACTCTACTCTACCCTACTCTACTCCTACTCTACTCTACTCCTACTCTACTCTACCCTACTCTACCCTACTCTACTCCTACTCTACTCTACCCTCTACTCTACCCTACTCTACTCCTACTCTACTCTACTCTACTCCTACTCTACTCTACTCTACTCTACTCTACTCCTACTCTACTCTACTCTACTCCTACTCCTACTCTACTCCTACTCTACTCCTACTCTACTCTACTCTACTCTACTCCTACTCTACTCTACTCTACTCTACTCTACTCTACTCTACTCTACTCTACTCTACTCTACTCTACTCCTACTCCTACTCTACTCTACTCTACTCCTACTCTACTCTACTCCTACTCTACTCCTACTCTACTCTACTCTACTCTACTCTACTCTACTCTACTCTACTCCTACTCTACTCTACTCTACTCTACTCTACTCTACTCCTACTCTACTCTACTCTACTCTACTCTACTCTACTCCTACTCTACTCTACTCTACTCTACTCCTACTCCTACTCTACTCTACTCCTACTCTACTCCTACTCCTACTCTACTCTACTCCTACTCTACTCCTACTCTACTCTACTCTACTCCTACTCTACTCTACTCTACTCTACTCTACTCTACTCTACTCTACTCTACTCCTACTCTACTCCTACTCCTACTCCTACTCTACTCCTACTCTACTCCTACTCTACTCCTACTCTACTCCTACTCCTACTCCTACTCCTACTCCTACTCCTACTCCTACTCCTACTCTACTCCTACTCCTACTCCTCCTACTCCTACTCTACTCCTACTCTACTCCTACTCCTACTCTACTCCTACTCTACTCTACTCTACTCCTACTCCTACTCTACTCTACTCTACTCCTACTCCTACTCCTACTCTACTCTACTCTACTCCTACTCTACTCTACTCTACTCCTACTCCTACTCTACTCCTACTCTACTCTACTCCTACTCTACTCTACTCCTACTCTACTCTACTCCTACTCCTACTCTACTCCTACTCTACTCCTACTCTACTCTACTCTACTCCTACTCCTACTCTACTCCTACTCTACTCCTACTCTACTCTACTCTACTCTACTACTCTACTCTACTCCTACTCTACTCCTACTCTACCTACTCTACTCTACTCCTACTCTACTCCTACTCTACTCCTACTCCTACTCTACTCTACTCTACTCTACTCTACTCCTACTCTACTCCTACTCTACTCTACTCTACTCTACTCCTACTCCTACTCCTACTCTACTCTACTCCTACTCCTACTCTACTCCTACTCTACTCCTACTCTACTCTACTCTACTCCTACTCTACTCTACTCCTACTCTACTCTACTCTACTCTACTCCTACCCTACTCTACTCCTACTCCTACTCTACTCTACTCTACTCCTACTCTACTCCTACTCTACTCCTACTCTACTCTACTCTACTCTACCCTACTCTACTCCTACTCTACTCTACTCCTACTCTACTCTACTCCTACTCCTACTCTACTCTACTCCTACTCTACTCTACTCTACTCTACTCTACTCCTACTCTACTCTACTCTACTCCTACTCTACTCCTACTCTACTCCTACTCCTACTCTACTCCTACTCTACTCCTACTCTACTCCTACTCTGCTCTGCTCTACTCTACTCCTACTCTACTCCTACTCTACTCCTACTCTACTCCTACTCTGCTCAGCTCTACTCTACTCCTACTCTACTCCTACTCCTACTCTACTCTGCTCTAATCTACTCTACTCCTACTCTACTCTACTCTACTCTACTCTACTCCTACTCTACTCTACTCTACTCTACTCCTACTCTACTCCTACTCCTACTCTACTCTACTCCTACTCTACTCTACTCTACTCCTACTCTACTCCTACTCCTACTCTACTCCTACTCCTACTCTACTCTACTCCTACTCTACTCTACTCTACTCTACTCTACTCCTACTCCTACTCCTACTCCTACTCTACTCTACTCTACTCCTACTCCTACTCTACTCCTACTCTACTCCTACTCCTACTCTACTCCTACTCCTACTCCTACTCTACTCCTACTCTACTCTACTCTACTCCTACTCTACTCCTACTCTACTCTACTCTACTCCTACTCTACTCCTACTCCTACTCTACTCTACTCCTACTCCTACTCTACTCTACTCCTACTCTACTCCTACTCTACTCTACTCTACTCCTACTCTACTCTACTCTACTCCTACTCCTACTCTACTCTACTCTACTCTACTCTACTCTACTCTACTCTACTCCTACTCCTACTCTACTCCTACTCTACTCTACTCTACTCCTACTCTACTCCTACTCTACTCCTACTCTACTCCTACTCTACTCCTACTCTACTCCTACTCTACTCTACTCCTACTCCTACTCCTACTCTACTCCTACTCTACTCTACTCTACTCTACTCCTACTCCTACTCTACTCTACTCCTACTCTACTCCTACTCTACTCTACTCTACTCTACTCCTACTCTACTCTACTCCTACTCTACTCCTACTCTACTCTACTCTACTCTACTCCTACTCTACTCTACTCCTACTCTACTCCTACTCCTACTCCTACTCTACTCTACTCCTACTCCTACTCTACTCCTACTCTACTCTACTCTACTCCTACTCTACTCTACTCTACTCCTACTCTACTCCTACTCTACTCTACTCCTACTCTACTCTACTCCTACTCTACTCCTACTCTACTCCTACTCCTACTCTACTCTACTCTACTCTACTCCTACTCTACTCTACTCCTACTCTACTCTACTCCTACTCTACTCCTACTCTACTCTACTCTACTCCTACTCTACTCCTACTCTACTCTACTCCTACTCTACTCCTACTCTACTCTACTCCTACTCCTACTCCTACTCTACTCTACTCTACTCTACTCTACTCCTACTCTA